ATCTCATTCTCTGGTCATCTAAACTTGTGACTGGTTTGTCGTCTTCCTGTAACAGAAGTTCCAACATCACCAGTGTTCTCCTAATCCACTTCTAGTAGTGATCTATCAGAGACCAATAAAATGGTCTCCTTGGTATGTTTGTCTCCTATCACACAGTAACAAAGAATTTACAATCAACTGATTCACCCAGTCTTTGTACTGCTAAACCCAAGGAAACCGAATTCTTCTTTACTTAAAAAAATTACAACCTAGGAGTAAGGGAGGGGGAAAGGCTTATAGGCTTTCTTAGGTGTGTCCATCACCCTTCTAGTCAAGTAATTAATGAAGCATCTTTTTGTCAAGTGTTTTTCCTGATGACATGTGGAAGACCATGTTGTGGACAGAAATAAGGGCCCAGACACCAATTTGTACAAAGTATTTTTATGAATAATAGTCTGTAGACGGAATTTTTCAATGCTTGTCTCTCTCTAGTAGCGCAGCAGTCAGGACTTCCAAAACAGAGTTTCTGATTAATGCCATGAAAACAAGTATGACAGTTGGCAATGGAGACTAGAAGTTCTTCATAGCATCCCACTACAGGGACTGGGACCAGTGCATGCAAGTTGATGGGGACCTTCAGCCTCTTGACCACAGTGACCTTGGTGTGGTTTTCACACCATAAGCAGAGAAGGCCTCCTCAAGCCTCTCATCCTGCAGCACAAAGCAAGCAATGGAGAAATTAAATATGCAAAAAAACCCAAAAATTCCTTTTGCTAGAGTAAATCTTGCAGCATTCACACAATTGGACGTGGAAAAATTGGACTAAGGAAGCAGACATGAACAAAAAATCTTACTTTTGCATAGATAACGTGACAAGTGGCTACTGTCCAGAGCACTGAATGGGGGAAACACCAACAGGCTCTCTGTGCAGAGGGCCAGCTCTGCTATGGTACAGCTCTTCAGCCTTGGAGCAGACCGGTGTGAGAAAGAGCTGTGGTTAGAAATACCTGTGAGAAGCCTTGTTGGGGCCTCAGCCACTTTGACTGGGGATTGCTTTTAAGTTCAGGTCCTTGCTGAGCTTTGTGGATACACGTGTGCCAACCAGTGTATCTGCCTCCCTGCTCCTGACCCACTGACTTGACTTCTAGGCTTGATCTTACACCTGCCTGGTGATCTGGACTTTTGGCTGACCATGGTTACTGTCACTGGACCTGCTTTGCTCTTCTCACTGGGATCCTGTGGGAACACAGCACGTATCAGTGTGGCCACTGCCTCTGCTTGCCTTGTTGTCACCCTTGGCTCTCAGCTTGCCTTTCCTCTCGGAGCAGCACCTGCACTTGCTGCACTTCCCCGACACCTAAGATTCAGGACAAAGGAAAATGTCACCTGAGATAATCTCAGTGCAGGATAGCCTGAGTCTGTCAGTTGTGGAAACTGGCTCTGGCTGTAAGAGGTTTAATGCATCCTCCTTATTTAGTCCTGAGTTATGTTAAGTCCCAGCCCCCAAACCATTTAGTATTAAACTTAAGTCTTTTTACAACAGACCGACAAACCAGAATCACAGAACTGCCTGGATTTCATTAAATGGATTAGACTGGCAAACACTTGTCACTGAAGGTGGCATACTGAACCCTTGAGCATCCTCACTGCTTAATTGTTAGCTCCCTTTCTGCCTCTGTTTTGGACCACTCCAGAGGGCTCTGTTATCTGAGACAAGGCTCCCATGGAGGGTAAGGAGATGGGTGTGAGCTTATCTGTGCTGTTGGGTGCTGGTGCCAGGGTTCAAGTATATTGTGAAATGCCTAAATGTTGTTTGCTGATTCCCCAGTAGGGACTCTCAGATGGTTTAGAAGCATCATTTAAATAAATTCATCAGATTGGATATCTTCATATGAAATCTTTCTGACTTCTCACAGAGTAAGTGTGTTAGCATGGTCAAAAACCACTGAATCATCATAAAATTACAAAGGGGAGGTCTACAAAATAATTTCTGTGAGGCAAGAGTGGAGTATTGGTCTGGAAATCTTCTTCTGCACATTTTTTAACTGGAATTTGCGATATTTACTTAATTTAAGACATTTTTTGCTGTTTGCTTTGGGTCAAATTAAAATTCACAGATATTAATGTATTTCTGCTGTGATAGTTACAGTTGTCTGAAAGTCTTTACACAGTCACCATCCACACTGGAAATCCATTGCCTTGATCTCCATCTTCCGTGGATTACTTCCTAATTTTTCTTTACCTTTGCTCTATGGGATTAGCCACAGTACCAGTCCCATAGTTTCTGCTTCAGTTCCCTGAATCTCTGCTCTTTTGGGCCTGACTTTGTGCATGTCCATCATGTAATTAGAGGCAAGTCTGTTAGGGGAAACAATTTTCTTGCAGTTAAGATGAAGAAGCCTAATGCGCCTGGGTTTGGTGCAGTTTGTAAAGTAATACACAGATGAGAAGTGGACCATAATGTTGGGATTAATCCTAAACATCAGTGTTCACATACCATTAAGAGTTTCAGCCTTTAATACTTACTGTTGTTGTATGTTGGATATTCTTACCTCATTAATATAGTTAAGAACTGATAGGTTATGTTTGTCACAATTTCCAAAGGTAATTGAAATATTCTGAGGGCAACTGGAAAAGATCTTTTCACAACTATTTTGATGTCATTTGTCTAGTCGGTTATTTCTGGGAAAGGGTTAGCAGTCTTCACGTGGAACTCTTCTGAATACGTCAGTCCACATCTGTAGTTTATCAAGATATCTGCTGTAAACCTTCAAAACTAAATAGTTACTTTTGTAAAGAGTCTGCATTTTTTTTATTGCAAGTAATGAATTCTGTGGACGTTAACTTAAAATGTATTGTAAGTTTAGGGTAAGGAAGCAGACAAGTCTCTTGTAGTGTTAGGTGACAGCGCACAGGACAGGGAGGATGCAGAACCAAACTGGAATAGGCAGCTCCGTGTTGAAGCTGAGGGCACAGCTGGAAACGTGCGTTTATTTCAGGCTTCAGATACACTGGGATACTGCTAAATTAATACATTCATTGTAGATTGTATATTTCATATACATTATTCTGTATGACTTCTGGTGCTTCAAAGGAATGTGTCATAGTCCTGTTGGCATTTTTCAATTCACCAATTTAATGCGAATGACCCGCGGAAGTGTTATTTTCTCCTCCTCCGGTCTTCTGAAAAGAATAAAAACAGGCGAAGGCGCGTTAGTGCAGTGTTCTTGCTGAACTATAGAGCTTAGTAGACTTTCAGAAATTCAAAGTTAATGAATTAAAACTCAACATAATTCTGAGTTAGAGGAAATTATAGATGGGGAAGTACAGGACATGTGATTTTCCAAGACCACGGAGTAGTACAGTGGTGTCAGTAGACGGTCTGAGATCCCTCTCTGGGTTTAAACTACAAACCAATTCTCCTTTTTACTATGCTACGCTGTTTGGCTAACGCAAGGCTCATACAGAATCCTTCGGTTAAAACCTCAGGACTTATAAGCAAATGTTTTATACAGCGCACAAAATAGAAATGTAGATACGTAATCATTTTTTTAAATTCAGAATCGCTAACAGTGGAAACTATGTCTTGAAAACGGGTGATGACTCCTAGCTATTGCACACCTTCGCAGGGAAAAGTGCATAGAAGCGTGTAAGGGGCTGGAAGACTTCACAAGCTAGCGTTTCGAATCTCGCGACTCCTCAAATGCTTTGTTTAAGCGTGCTATTGCACTGCCCCCTGTGGTGTCTGGGCTGGCTGGGTCTCCTCTGGAGAGAAAGGAAGAAAACAAAGGAAAGGGCAGGAAAACTAAATAAACGATTTTATTTTTTTTTTGTCTAGGAGCAGGTTTAGTTGCTGCTGATCTGATTGAGCAGAGAGCATTCAATGCTCTAGGGGTACATAAAGGCAGGAAGAGCCTTTGCTGAGAGAGAAAAAAAAAAAAAAACTCTTAAGAGGAAGGTCTTCTGAGAAACAACAGTATAGAACTAAAATAGAGCAACTAGAGGAAGGAAGTCCATGTCCTATATATACAGAAAGGGAGGGGGATCTTCTCCATAGTAACGGAGGGAGCAGGGGAGGAGGAAAAGGACAACGCAAACTGCAAAAGACATTTTAACAAATTGTATGGAAGAGAGAGATTTGAGGTTTGCTCTTCTTCCCTGCTTGCAGGGCCTGTGGTTTTGGTGTGATACAAAATCCCTTAAAAATGTTTGCTTAAGGTAATAAATGAGGATTAATTATTTCTGGACAATTATAACGCTTGTACTTTAGTATTCACACTTTATATTCTAAACTTCTTATTACGAGAAGACTTGAAGCTTGGTTGTTAAAAGTTTCCGTTCTGTGATTTACAAAATACATACGTTACTGCTGTATTTGTATTATTACTGTGTAGTTACAAAATGTTTTGGCGCTGGAATACGGCCAGATTTTGCAAAATGTGGACGTCAGGTGAGGTGGTCTGTGTGTCTGTAACGGTCGCGTTGGTGTCACAGAAGTAATCGCTTGCATGGAAATCACAGGTATCCTGAAGGTTGGGCTTGTTCCGAGTATCCTGATGTGGTTTTGCTGATGCACTGATAATCCATTTTTGCCTTCCCCACACACACACACTTATTTCTTGCACTCTTTTTCCCTGGTTAACTCTAGCAGCAGTCTTGCAAAGCACTTTCAGGATCCGCTGTTGCATTTCTTGCCAGGCAAATCCCTATCGGTGAAGAGAGTGGTCCTTCAGCCTCAGAAATCTAGCACTGTCGTAAACCAAATCTTTCACAATGGATGTGAAACATCCTTTCCTCCTTCTATTAGCACTCCTCCTTAATGTACAGTGATTACTTCTAATGACTAGTAAAGCAGTAAGCAGTCCCAATTTTGACTTCATAAGAGACGGCAGCAGTATTAGTTGTTTAAAATAAAGTATTTTACTCTAACATTTGCCTTTTGTATTATGTGGGATGGATTTTTTTGCTTAAAAATACCTGTAGTTCTTTTTGCAAAGACTGACAGCAGTGTCTCGTTTCAGGGTGGGATGATTAACTGGAATAGACTGTTTCCTCCTTTACGTCATAGACATAATGCGAATTATCAAGATCATCGCCCGACTGAACAAGACACACCTCCACCTACCGAGGTTTCTGAAGAGCAGGTAAACATTTTTCTATTTTAAAATGGCATTTAAAAACGGGTTAGGAATTACTTCTACTAATTCTTTATCATCTGTTGACACAGTTTCTTAAACATTCTCTATAGCAGCACAAATTAGAATATCAGTTAACAGTCACAATACAGAGACAGCGAGTTGTCATTACCATCCAAACCAGAGTTGCAAATCAACTTGGGCATTTCTGCTTTTATGGGTAACTGTCTTTTGTATTTAAAGATGAGGTAGTTTCACTAGTGGGGGCTCTTCAGATCTGATAAAATCAATGTTTCAGAGAAGGAAGAATGACAAAGAGATTTCATTATTTGTCTTGTAGACATGCAAGTTTTCCTTCACTGAGGTCTCCAGCTTAGGTTTCCAATTTAGTCATGTAGTTTTTTGGAAGTAAGAATGTCATGCCAGCTGCAGACTGCAACACACGCTTGGTCTGAAACTTGGATGTTTCCCTCCATAATGTGGTTGACTGATTTCACATCCTGATGCCACAAAGAAGTTTGTGTCTTCTCTATGAAGCATAGATTTAGACTTACGGTATAGATTTAGACTTCTAGACTTCTGTTGATAGCTTTATTCTCAAAAAGAGAGGATGATTTACTAGGAGATTTAAGAATTTAAGATTAGTCTTGTTTCTGTATTCAGGATTTATTGCATGCAATCAAGTTCTCCAGGTTGTAGCCTGTCTGCAGTTAGCTGCATTGGCTGCTTGACAGTCTAAGGTCTCTGCTACCCTTGAACAAGAGTAGGTTTCAAGGCTGAGTTTTTCTTTCCATTTTTCCTTTTTTAGGGAGATAAATCAACACTTGCTAGCACCATGCTGTCATTTCTAGTTAGTTTAAAATGAGCTTGTCGCAAACAGAAATCTTTGCTATGATCTGATTTCCAGTTTTGATTCAATGTTAGATTATGTTCAAAATGTTCAAAATTTTAACTGCACTGATGGTTTTGACTGCAAACCTGCTGGGCTACATCCAAAAAGGCAAAAAAAAACCCCAACCAACAAAAAAAAACCAAAAAAAAAAAAAACCCAACCAAAGAACACCTACTGAGACAAAACCCAGAAACTTAGTTTTGGCCGACCTGAAAGCCTACTCAGGGCCAGGTATGGGGTGGCCCAAAAGATTCCCCTGGTTTGTTTATTTGTTTTATTGACAAATTCTGCTTATGGGAACTTTTATTGTTGGGCTGGAACTAATGAAATAGTTACTAGTCTGACTTACGCTGGATTCTTACCCAAAGCCTTTAAACCCGGGTTTATGAAAGCAACATACGCTTGTATTTTATCATGCATTGAAGTTGTAGAGCTCACCTGATTGCTGTCGTTTGCAATGCTGTCTAGTTGCCCTGCAAAGAAAAAAGTAATCTAAGCACCTTTGATTTCTCAGGACTGTGCTAGTAACTGCACAAGTTGTCTTAGAATGGCAGAAATGCAACGTTTTCTTCGGGTCTTCATATTAAAATTTGCAAGCATTTGCAATGCGTTTGGTACAAAAATCTCTGCATGTCTTGTGGGTTTTTTAGCACCTTAAATTACCGTTACCAGTATACATCTCTGTTTCCTGGAGCTGGATTCAGTTCCTGCGGTTAAAATATACTCAGATGAAAAGAGCTTTTTGTTGTTACAATCTATTCCCTGTGATGCTCGCTGGATGTTTCTGTAAATGGGAACATTGCAATTCTATCCACCACTTCTTAAGGTTAGAATTCATGGCAAGTACGGTAAAAACCTTTCTCCTGAAATTTATTTCTGTGGTTAGCTTTTATTCCACTGCCTGCCCTTTTTCTCATAAACAACACAATCTTAGATGAAAAATCAGACAGAGGAAACTTGAGAAAGTTACGGGTTATGAAATCCAGTTTGAAGTTATACTATTGTTGCAGAGGTGTCGAAAGTAACAATTCATTTCTCTCTCTACAAGAACGCGAGAAACCGACATTGGGTTGTAAGGGGGGAGAAGAGGGAAATGCACAAAAATTATCAGTACCGTATTTGATATTATGACAGCCAAGGTAGCCATTTTCAAACATTTTGTAACGGTGTATTTAGACTAAGAAAAGGAGGACACACACACCCCCCCCCGGCATACTTGGCAGTAGTATATTTCTCAGTAAGCCGCCAAAGCAGAGAAGATTAAAAATACTGAAAGTTCTGGAGGTGTCTTAAGAGGAAGGGGAGGTTGCTTTTAATGGCACTTTTCTTTTAAAAGACATTTAAAATACTTTCAATACTAGTGCACATAGGTCTTGCACCCTGGGAAGAGTCCTCCTGAGATGTGAATTGCCTCTGCTGCCTTCTGCTCAGCTTCATTCTGCTGCCGCAGGGTCCGTACAAGCAGAGGAGGAGCAGCGGTAGCTCCCAGACAGCTCCTGTAGCCCAGACCTTCCAGGTTCAGGAGTCGTGGTGTCTGGGCACAGGCCGTTTGCAGCAGGATGGGGAACGCTTTACGCTGCCAGTGGCCACAGTTAATTTTGGGTGCCGCTCCCTGCGCCTCCCTGCCCTTGTTTTTGCCCTCTCCGGAAGATTGACTATAAAAGTGAATTAGTTATGTGATGACTTCCAGTCATATGCAATTGAGAATTGTAGATGTTAAATGTGCTTCAGATTGGAATTTAACCATAAGTTAAATTTGGTTATACCTACATTGCTTTTTACATGTGGTAATTCGAATATGTTGGCACAGAGCAAAAAGGTTAGGTGTCGAGTACGTGATATTGTAAAGAAGGTTGGTCAAGTGGTTATTGATTACCAAAATCACTGTCTTAATATGCCCTTTTCCACGTAGTTCTTCCATCAAATGTCATTGACTTATGCTGTTTTGAAAATATTTAGATTGTAGTTGTCGTGTGTGGTGCCGTACTTTCTGTTTTACTCTTTTTTCAAAACTGGACCGGCTAGGAAAATACAGGTGTGGCATTTTCAGCAAACAGTTGGTTTTGAATAAACTGTCAGAAAGCAGTCATCTCTGTCCGTGGCAATGTTTTCAGCCATGCTGTCGCAGATAGGTCTTTGTGATGGTGCACAGCCATGCTTGCTTAGTCTCTGGAAAGGTAAGCTTTTGAACAGCCTGATCAGTGGGAAAGTGATCTCTGACGCTGTTAACATGACTAATGCGCACACAGTGTGAATAAACCTCTGGTTTTAAAGCAGTGTTACGTTATTTCTTTTCCAGGTTGCACGACTTATGGAAATGGGATTTTCCAGGGGAGACGCTCTAGAAGCTCTGAGGGCTTCAAATAATGACTTAAATGTAGCCACTAATTTTCTACTGCAGCACTGATGGTTTTCTGTGTGAAGGAACTTTACGTGATGGGTTTGTACACGTCTGAAAGAGGATCAAAGCCACCTGCTGGACAGACTCACAAAGGTCGTCCCCACAAGAGCATCAGAAAAGAGAAACTGGCTCCGCGTGACTGGTGATTCAAAGTGATGTTAATGAATGACGTGAACTGTTCCCAAGCCTTCAGATCACTTGGTTTCTAGTCTGGTTATCCTTTTCAAAGTAACTTTAGTTTCTACTTATTACTGGATATCACCTAAATTTATTTTTAAAATAAAGTAGGTGGGTTTTTTTCTTGTAAATCCTTGTTAGACATGTTATCAGGCTTAATGACTAGGAAAAGAAGCTCCAACCACCACAACAACTAGGTTTACCTGTCAAGAAAAATCACATTTTCTTCATCTACCAATCTAATTTCTCTACCTTACATGTACTTGATTTTTGATTACAGTAATAAGAGGTTTGAAGATCATTTCATTTTCAACTCAGTAAAGGGTTATGGGACTATTATGTCATTCTTCAGAAAGTTTTATTAATGCCTGTAATATTTTATTTCTTGAATTCCTTTTCAAATAAAAGTTGTCATTTAGCACATAATACACAGATAGGATGCAAGAAAATTCATGTGCATATTACAAGCTATGGCAAGTGACCACTGTAAATTTAAATTTTTACAAACTGAGTGATATTGCTAGTCAGATACAGGTCATTAAGATATTGGTGATACAGGTGAATCACGTGACACAATAAGATGAGAACTGAAATGATCTGAATGACTTCCATGTCTAGTTCAGACAGACTTCTGTAACAATGGATCTGTGCTCAGTGTCCTATGTGCTGGTTTCATTTTTTTGAGCTGGCTACATACTGTCTTAAAAGAAAATGATAAAAAACTAACTTTTCTATATATAGTTCTAGTTTTCTACTGTCAAAGATGTGGATGTCCCTGCATTTGCTGAATCCTCACTGTCTGAAGCAACTTACTGTTGATCACAGACTGGAATATTAACCTTAAGGGTGATTCAGGCTAACACAGGAGGTAACAGGACGCTAATGCCAAGGTAGTACAATATTGGGTTTGAAGTTTAGATTGATAAATAAACTTACTTGGCTTGACTCTCAGAAGTGCTCAGTATTAGCACCTTAGGAGTTGCAGGAGGTGGGGTGGAGAGAGGTGAACATCTCTGTAAAACCAAGCTGAAGTAATACGAGATTCCAAACTGTGACTCCTTGAAACCAGTTTACTCATGTATCTCAAGCATTTAATGTATGTTTCTGTATGTACTTTTGTTTGTACATTGTGTGTATGTATATGTCTATTTATATACATACAGGCTTATTTAATACATACATACATTTTGAGTAAGGTATGGGTCATCAGAAGCATAACAAAGGCAATAGCAGGTGCAAAGGGGAGGAGGTGAAAGAATATGGGAGAGAGAAGGATGTTTTGAACATCCAAATGAACATGTGTGTGCCAAAGTACAGACCTGCGCAGTCTCAGCTGGCCTGCAAAATATACTGGGAAATTACAGGACAAGATTTAGGGAGATACCTTTCTCTTTTTTTTTTCTTCTTTTTTTTTTTTTTTTAATTGACTGATAAAACTGAAAAAAGTCCCTTGGGCATACAAGTCCTTATCCAGAAATGACATCAAATTTGTGCAGCTTTCGGCACATGACATGATTTTTAATAAAGTCAATGTCCTGTATGTATTTTTTAGTGTTTTCCAGTGGGTGAAATAAGAGTCTTTTTGGAATGACTGTGTGTTTTCCTGGGCTTTGATCAACCTCCTTCAGGGTTTGGCTTCCTGCTATGCTCACATTATTTAGGCAGGGTCTGCTTTCTAATTGAAAGGTTTTGTTGGTGTGAAGCTTGAGTGGCTCTCTGTGTAGGCTAGGGATGTTTCTCTACCCAGAGAACTCTGGAAACCTGCTGTCCTACAAAGGAAAGGGCAAATGTAAGAAAAAAAGCCCTACAATGATTTGTATATGTGAACTAGTTAAATGTTTTGAAACAAGTACAGGTTTTAATTTTGAAACATACAGATTCTTCTTTCACAAGTATTTTATCAAAAGTAGCAATAAAGACTAGTGATTTACTTCAGAAGTCAGATTTTGTCTGTAGGAAATAAAGGTCCACCTCACCCAGGGTAAATTAAATATGGCCTGTGCCCTTTCCGACATTGCCCTGCTCTAGGGACAAGCACAGAGAGCATTTATTCCTTGGAACGTTAAAACATGTCGAGTGGCACCCGGGACATGTAAGTGGATATTCTCCAAGTCTAAATCCGTTCTTACTATTATCGATACAAGGGGTATCCAGATGTCCCTGTTGTTTGGAAAACCCCGTTTTGCTGGGCATTTCGCAGAACCTGGTCAAACATAAGGGGTAAAATTCAGGTCTTGGTGATGTCAGTTGAAAATTCCCCTTGACATCTGTGGGAACAGTTTGTGCTCAAAATGCTTCCAGGGTTGTAATTTCCAATTAAAAAAAAAAAAAAAAAAAAAGGTAAAAGGAGGGGTCTCGCATGCCGTTGAACATAGTTCCTGTTTCATACAAGAACCATAGAGGAAAGATTCACAAGTTAGAGCTGGAAAAGAACTCGGTTTCCATTTGATGGTGAAACTTTCATGGACCATTTCTGGGAATGCGAGGAGCATGTTCTTCAAAGCCTACGCAGTGTTTGTCCAATACGGATACAGGTTTGAATATCTCGTCGCACAGTTTCTATTTTCTTTGTGACCCAACAGTATTTTTTTAGGCAGCGAGAGAACGCAGAATACTTTTCTACAGAGAGGATTTTAAGTCCCTGGGAAATTCACGCTGGTTTTACTAAAGCCAAGATTTGGTATTTTGAAATAAAAGTAGTTGCTGCTGTTAAAATCTCTCTACTAGACTGGGAATGTTGTCTTTTGAGACAAGATCGGAGTAATTTATTGGGGACTTTCCTAGACGGTTATGTGATACTTCGAAATATACCCACAGTGACGTTGGTAGTTGTGGAAATCTGCCTTGATAAGCCGCCGGGTTCTCAAGCCTAAACTTTTTGCTTAAGATGCAGAATGATTAGGCTCCGGACCTACCAAAGCCATTTTCCTCTCCCAAAACAAGCGTCAAAGGTTGCCTGCTGCCTCTGTGATCGAATGGGCCGTCACAGCGGGTCCATGCTCCGGCCGGTGCTGTCTAGCGCTTGGCGCTGCCTTTGTGAACACGCGATGGGGATGAGGTCTCGTTATTTTTGTCTGAAACAAAAGGACAAGCGAGCAAAACACGTTGCAAGGTACTGGGCAAAGGGCAACGTTTTTGGCTCTCCCGTTTGTGTATGCGTGTGTGTGTGTATATATATACGCATGCATATATGTGTATATGCATATATATGTGTGTATACATATATATACACAGAGAATGAGTGAGAATATTTATGTATTGATTTATGTATTTGATTTTTGCCAAAGGAGAGTTTTAAGAGGAAACAAGAAGTTAGCTGGGCTCACACGTGTGCGTTGGGGACTGTTTCCAAACCTGAGCGGTAGCATTGGAGAAAGCAGGAACTATATGTACTTCAACAGGGGGTGAAAAATCCCAGGATCGTGGCTGAACGGAAAGCAGGATCTGGCCTTTTGACTGGAGATAAGTAGGGACCATAAATGTCATTTCAGATTAGCAAAGGAGAGGACTTGAGGGAGGTGGAACTGAGAAGAAACAGAGAGTTTAGAGAAAAGGAGCAAAGCAGAAGATAAGACTGCAGGGGACAGACAGAAAAGACCTGCTGAGAGAAGGGGGGCGGGATGTCACGTTGCGCTTAGCTCAGTTTTGAAATAATTCATAGAGATTCTGTGTGGAAAATGCAAATGCACAGTATTGTGGCTGATCTTGCACTGAAAATCCACTCTCTTTTCAGGGGTGTCCAGTAGGGGAATCCTTCCATTTTATTTGGTTGGTTTTGCATGAGATGGTACATGTAAGCAAGAGAGAAAACGGTACGATCCCAGCAACTCGGCAGTGAAGCAAACCCTGGAGTCACCACGGTCTGTGAGAAAGCAGATGTTTCTGGTCTCCAAAGCACGGTTAGTCCTGCCAACCTGACCCTTCTCCTGGCACCCCCTCCCGACTGCGGAGAGACCTGCTCCAGAGAGGACGCGGGTCCCACCGCTCATCCCACGCGGGGTTATTTATAAATCCCCATGCCGCGAGAGCACACGACCTTCCCGGGGAAACAAGCGTGCTGCGTGAAGGAGGTGGATCGAGAGCTTGGGCTTGTCCCTCGCCGCTTCCGAGCCTTTGCTTTGCTTGCAGGGGGGAGAGGCGTGCGCGCACCTCCGAGAAGCCAGCAGCTGCCCGCATCGCCTGGCCCAAGCAATCACACCGAGGCTTGTTGCTTGGCGGTGAGAAGCTTTTATTTTAAGTAGATAACGTGCATTTTTACATGTCAATATTTTACTGGCTTACAAAGATGGAGGTCGCAAGATGCAATAGCTTCAATTCGGGGCGATTTAAAGGACAGACGGAAGAGGCGCGTTGTACAGCCCAGGTAGTTTACTAACAGGTAATGTGTAACTGTAACCAGGAGCTGTTGTCCCCCAGCGCTCTCCTGGAAATGCATGCTTTTAGTGGAAAGCGTTAAGTTTGGAACCGCTGTTAAGGGAAAAAGGCAGTGCTGTCGGAGCTCCGTGTGCTTGTTTGCCAGTAAGACGGGCCGGTCTGCAGAGACCCTGTCTGCTTTCTGCCCTGCCTTCGGTTGCGTGAGCTAATCGCCCTTTCGCAGAAGTTCAGGAGAAACCTGACGTACACTGTGTTAGAGGGGTTTTGAGCTGCAAGGGTCACAGCGTGAGTTTGCTAAGGAAATCCCAGTTTGCACCACAAACGTATACAATGCGTACGACTGTACACGGGCATGGTAGTAGTGTGTGACCGCAAAAAGTGTACTCGCAGCCCTTAGATAAAAACGCGATTTTCCCTTCTTAGAAGGCGGCGTGGCAACGGGCTGCAGTCTCGGGTCCAGCACGAAATACCGGCGCGCGGCGCGGCGATAACTCCACGCGGCAGGCCCTCGCGGACGCCAGCGTGGCGGCCTGTGCCCCCCAGCCGCTTCGCAGCCGCCCTCCTCCCCCAGCCCGCCGCCTTCCTAGCGGCGGGGGGGGGCCGGGGGGG